TCTGGATACTGGTAGCTCACATCCTAGCTACTCAGGAGGCTGGCATCTGAGGATTATGGTTTGAAGCCAGCCCAGGCAGGAAAGTCTGTGAGACTCTTATCTCTAATTAATCACAGAAGAAGCTGGAATTGGTGCTGTGGCTCAAGTGGTAGAGAGCTAGCCTTGAGCAAAAAGGAACTCAGGGACACTATCTAGGCCCAGCATCAAGACCCAGGACGGGCAAAAAAAAATTTTCAGAATAAAATTGGGAACAAAAATGCAACATTTTTCATCTTGATAACGAGTTTTAAATTTTTTTTTAAAAAATTTCTTCCTTTTAGTGACTTTTGGAATGGTAAACCCACATATGTATTATTTAAACAAGGTTATGTCATCTCTATTTTTGGATACTTATATACCTGATGATGAAAGAACCAACTTTAAATCTATTCGAAGCATAACTGATTTTTGGAAGGTAAGGAAGGTATCATGTGACTGTGGATGAAGTAGCTGTACGTATTCCATAAACCCTTATCACATATAGTAAGTGCTCAGGAAGTATTTGTTGAAGGAATGAGCAAAAATTGAAATCATTTCTTTAAACAATTAGACTCAGCCAACCCATAGTGTTTATAGTGTGTTAATAGTGTGTTATCATTCTTATAAATTTGTTTTTTAGACATTCTCATTTTATATGGAAAACACAAGCCTTTTTTGTGGTACTAGAGGTTGAACTCAGGGCTTTGGTCTTGCTGGGTTGGTTCACTTCAGCCTTACCATACCCAGCCCTTTTTACTCTAGTTGTTTGAGAATGGGCTTATATTTTTATCTGAGCTGATTTGGACTTCAATCCTCCATTTGTGCTTCACGTCTGTAATTCTAGCTACTCAGGAGGCTGAGATCTGAGGATCTCAGTTTGAAGCCAGCCTAGACAGGAAACCACCAGAAAACCAGAACTGGTGCTTTGGCTCAAAGTGGTACAGCACTAGCCTTGAACAAAAAAGCTCAGGGACAGCACTCAGGCCCTGAGTTCAAGCCCCATGACTGAAAATAAATAAAGGATAAATAAGAGAAAGGTATCCTACAAACAATTTGTGCTATCTGTAATTCTATATTAAAGTTATGTTTGGTCTTGGGGTAGGCATATAAAAGAAGTTTTTAAAAAGGCAAATTATTAATTGGATGGAGACCACATAATACTATGATAGGAAATTTAAACTTAACCAAGATCATTTCCTGAATGAGAGGATGTGATGGTTAATTTTTAATATAAACTCAGCTGGATTGAGAAGTGATTAGGTTAGTAAAGCATAATTCTAGGTATGTCTGGGAAGGTATTTCCAGACTATGATGTGATCTCTGCTATTCTCTCCCCACCAAGATGGAAACTTTCTGAAGCCATGAGATGAAATAAATCTTTCTTGTGAACTATTTTATCTGTGATGAGAAGTCAACACAGAGAGAGGACAAGTATGAGATTAAGTGCTGAAAAATCCTAGGTCATTGGCTTAGAATGGAAGAAGTAACGAAACTTGCCTCTTTTATTATGCTGTTTGAGATACATAAATGGTCAATGACAATGAAGATAAAAGAAATGAACCCTGGCTTAGGATCTCTTAGAATGAGAAGATAGGCACATAGCCAGTATTAGCAGTCATCATAGTTAAAGAGAGGAAGAGGGGGAAGGGTATAGATAATGTCAATATATAGTCATAAGGTGTGGCTAAAACCAACTCTGCTATTTATTCATTCAAAGTATCTTATACTTTCAATATACTCATATAAGGAGAAAAAAATTTCGGAGTTAATGTTTGTAATGTACTTACGGTAATGTCTAGTATATAATAAGTGCTCAATAAGTGTAAACCAGCAGCAGCATTGCCATTCTTAGATTTTTTTCTTTTTTTAGATTCTGATGTTTGAACTCAGGACCTCTCATTTGTTAGGCAAGTTCTCTACTGTTGAACCATGCCCCCAGCCCTGGATTACCATTAATATTAATGGTGCTTCAGGCAATAATTTTCACAATCTCAGATGAATAATTTTATGAACAAATTTTGTTAATGTGAAAATATTTTTCTCATATAATTTATCTTTACAAAGTTTATGGAAGGACCCCTTTTGGATGGTTTATACTGGGACTCGTGGTATAATAACCAGAAGCTATATGATTTAAAGAACAGCAGTCGCATCTACTATGAGAACATTCTTCTAGGCGTCCCCAGAGTCCGACAATTAAAAGTTCGCAACAATACATGCAAGATTTATTCATCTTTTCAATCTTTGATGAGTGAATGTTATGATAAATATACTTCTGAAAATGAAGACCTATCTGACTTTGGCCTTAGACTTGATTCTGAGTAAGTAGTATAAAATTATACAGTAACTCTAGCAGATACCATTGTATCTTTTAAGAATTGTAGAAATGTGTTTTTTCCAATAAAGGCAGACCGGAGACTGGCAGGTCAGGTATCTGTCTTGATAGTATGTAGGAAGACTTGGAGGTGGTGTTACTTAGAAGAGTAAAGTTCTTTGGGGTGCGGGGGTAGATTTTTGTTGGTTTACTTACCTTAGCTTACAAAGTATTTGGGGGGGCATGGACATATGAAATGTTTAGTCAGAGTAGATGCAAGGTTGCGCCTTTTGTTTTTGCTTCTCTAATTGTCAAGTTTTTCTGGCCCTAGCCAGACACCCTCAAATGCTCCAAAATTTTGTGGTCTCCTTAGGAAGTGTCATAGGAGTGTCCTGCTCACTTTCTCTCTCTTCTCTTTCACGTACTTCAGTGATATTTTCTATGGCTGCCAGTATTAAAAGGAGTCATCTCCTCTTTCAACAATCTGCTGGTAATCAAAGCTGTTTATGCATTGTGCTTTCAGAGTCCTACAAGAGGTCTACCTTTCCAACTAACTGCTCATTCTCCAGAAATAGCTATTATTTTTTCTTTTAGTTGTTTCTTCTATCATATACTTCGTGTTTCTAAATAACTCTGCCACTTTGAGCTGCAGCTGCACTTTTTGTTTTTGAGTGGTTAATTGGAGATAAGAGTCTCACGGGGACTTTTCTGCCTGGACTGACTTCAATCATGATCCTCAGATCTCAGCCTCCTGAGTATCTTAGGTTACAGGTGTGAGCCACCAGCACCCAGCTACATCATTCCTTTTCCCTTCTCTCTGAGTTTTAGAAATCTTGAGGATTTATATAAGTAAAATTATACATTTTCTTAAATATTATAAGTGAATATTACTATTTAATGCAAATTACAAGGTAAATCAGTTATTAATACATTTTAAATTGGAATCTCAAGATCAATATTTTAGTTATTCTAATATCCTAAATTCTGTAACAACTACAGATACTTTAAATATCAAAACGCTATGGTTTAGGTTTAGTTTACCCTCTTACACTTAGAATACCTGTCATTTCTCCACAGCCCCAAAATTAGAATTAATTTGAATGTTTATCTAAAATGTAGAATGCATTAGTTAAAAACATAGCATAGAGACCAGGTGCCAGTGGCTCATGCCTGTAATCATAGCTACTCAGGAGGCTTAGATCTAAGGATCGCAGTTCAAAGCCAGCCTGGGCAGGAAAGTCTGTGAGACTCTTATCTCAGAAAATTGAAAGTGGGACTGTGGTTCCAGTGTAGAGTGCTAGCCTTGAGCCGAAGACCTCAGGGACAGTGCCCAGGCCCGAAATTCAAGCACCACAACCAACAACAACAACAAAAATAGCATATTAAAAGTTGAAAGCCAGGAGAGAATGGGAGTCACAAATTTTTGTGTTTCAGTTTAATAATCATATACAGAAAACTCTCAAAAGTACAACCCTGGCCAGGCATAACTGTGGCTCATGCCTGTAATCTTAACTACTCAGGAGGCTAAGATCTGAGGATTGCGATTCGAAGCCAGCCTGCAAGAAAGTCCATGAGACTCTTATCACTAATTAATTACCAAAAAGCTAGAAGTGGTACTGTGGCTCAAACAGTAGGGCACTATTCTTTAGCAAAAAAACCTCAGGAATGACTTCTAGGCCCTGAGTTCAAGCCCCAGGACTAGTACACACACAAAGTACAGCTACAAAACTGTCATTAAAAATAAAAATACTTTTCCCTAGTGTGTTGCTTTTGCTGCCCCTACTAACAAAAATTTTTAAAAAAATGTAGACATAGACCGGCACTGGTGGCTCACACCTATAATCCTAGCTATTCAGGAGGCTTGAGATCTGAAGATCATGGTTCAAAGCCAGCCTGGGCAGGAAAGTCCATAAGATTCTTATCTCCAATAAACCAATAGAAAACCAGAAGTAGCGCTGTGGCAGTAGAGTGCTTGCCTTGAGCTGAAGAGTACAGGGATAGCACCCAGGCCCAGAGTTCAAGCCCCAAGCCCGACAAAAAACAAAACAAAAAACCCCACATTAATTATATAAGGGGTATTTTGTTGTGAAATTCCTACAGATGTTTAAACAGTGTGTATGTAATTAATTGTATACCTTCTGTCACTCTCCTTCATGCCACTTTCCTGCTTTATTGGGGGCAGGGGCTAGTACAGCCCCCAAATTTGTACACAGCTGGTGCTCTACCCCTTTAACCATGACTCCAGTGTGGAATTTTGCTGGTTAATTGGAGATAGTGTCTATGGCTTTAATGCCTGTTTGGCTGGCTTTGAACCTTGATCATCTAGATCAGCCTCCTGAATAAACTAGAATTACAGGTGTGGGCCACCAGTGCCAAGCAATCAACAGTTGTGTATGCACACACATGCGTGCTAGTACTGAAGTTTGGACTTGGGGGTATGGGGACTGTCCCTTAGCTTTTTCACTCAGGCTAGTGCTTTGCCACTTGAACCACAGCTCTACTCCCAGCTCTTTGGTGATTAATTGGAGATAAGAGTCTCATGGACTTAGCTGCTCAGACTAACTTTAAACCTCAGTCCTCAGATCTCAGCCTTTTGAGTAGCTAAGGTTATAGGCATGAGCCTCTGGTGCTCAGCAGTCCCCAGATTTTTTCCTTGTGCTGCTCTTGGGGCTTGAAATCAGGACCTGGACACTGGCCCTGAGCTATTGTGCTCAAGGTTATCACTCTACTACTTGAGCCACAGCCTCCTTCTGACTTTTTGGTGGCTAAGTGGAGGTAAGAGTCTTTCCTGCCCGGGCTGGCTTCAGACCACAATCCTCAGATCTCAGCCTGCTGAGTAGCTTGGATTACTAGTGGCATGAGCCATCAGCAACCCACAGTCAACAGCTTTTATTGAGATTCCTTCTGCTATTTTCATACAGTTGCACTGTATTTCAGAGTTATCCACCCTCTTTTTTTCTTCTCTCTCCGTCCCTCATTCTCCAACACAATCCCATCATTACAATCATGTTTTCCTGACCTAAAACTGATATTCTTGTCCTACTTAAGATTAAACATTGTATAAGAAAACAGACATGTTAAAGACAAAAAGTCCTCATGTATACTTTCTGAGTTCTTGGAGATAACATATAGACTTTTGAAAATTTTTCTCATAGCTTATAGTCTAATGTGTTGCCCATAGTAGGCACTAAAAAGAAAAAAAATAGTCCATTAATGTGTATGTGATTCCGTATATATGAAATGTTCAAGTTGTACACTGGTGACTTAACACCTGTAATCCTGACTACTCAGGAGACTGAGATCTCAGGATCCAGGTTTGAAAGCCAGACTGGGCAGAGAAGTCTAAGACTCTTAGCTCCAGCCAATAAAAAGCTAGAAGTAGAAATGTGGCTCAAGTGGTTAGAGGACCAGCTTGGAGAGAAAAAAGCCAAGAAAGAGTGTAAGAGATTGTTTAATCCCTAGTATTGTGTAGGCACAAAAAAAATTTGAGAATAGCTGGACACTGGGTCACTCCTGAAACCTACCTACTCTGGAGGCTGAGATCTGAGGACCACTAGCTAAGGCAGAATGAGCCAGATAAGAAGCTGGTAGAGCACCAGCCTCAGGCAAAAAAAGTCAAGCAAGAGTAAGAGGCCCTGAGTTCAAGTCTCTTCACTGAAAGAAAAAAAGAAAGGAAAGAATAAAAGAAAAATGTTCAGAGGAGTCAAATCTGTATAAAATGAGAGAGTTTTTCTTCTCTCTTTTTGCCGCTCCAGGGCATGAACTCAGGTTGCCCTGCTTGCTTTACTTGCTTGGCTGGTGCTCTAACACTTGAGACATGCCTCCAGCCCAGTAAATTTGTGCAGGGTTTTTTGTGGGTTTTATTGGTCTTTATTTTGTTTGTAGAACTAGGGTTTAAACTTTAGGCCTCACCTTTTCACCTCAAGTGGCATACTGCCTCTTGAGTCACACATACTCTCCACCCTAAATCTTAGTCCTATAAACTTAATCCTTCACTAATTGTGTTGCAACTTTTTCAAAGCCCATTGGTTTTTGTTTTCTTTTGTGATGCTAAGGATTTAATCAGGGCCTTTGAATTATAAATCAAGCACTCTACTACTTGAGCCATACCTCTGGTCCGTTTACCTTTAGTTTTTAGATACTCTCTAAATTTGCCCACCATTGCTTAAATTATGACCCTCCTGCCTCTGCCGCCCAAATGGAAAGATTCATTTTTGTGTATATCTGCGCCAGTCCAGGGGCTTCCACTAGGGCCTGGCCGCTGTCCCTGAGCTTCTCTGCTCAACACTTGCACTCTACCACTTGAGCCACAGCTCCACTGCAGGCTTTTGAGTAGTTAATTGGAGATAAGAATCTCACAGTCTTACCTGCCCAGGTTGGCTTTGAGCCACAGTCCTCACATTTTAGCCTTCTGAGTAGCTAGGATTACAAACATGAGCCACAAGCACCCAGCAGAAATGTTAGTTTAACTTCTTAAAATACTTTTCAGTTGGGCTTTTGCATATCTCCATTATTTTTATATTTTAACAGATGGAAGTACTCTACTTCTAATACCAACTCCCCATGGCACTGGGGATTTGTTGGTGTCTATGGAAATGGAGGATATATCTTCACTTTATCAAAATCAAAATCTGAAACCAAAAATAAGTTCATTGACCTTCGCCTAAACAGCTGGATTACAAGAGGGACCAGAGTAATTTTTATTGATTTTTCACTATACAATGCTAATGTAAATCTGTTTTGCATCATCAGGTGAGTGACTCAAAACCTTCGTTTTCATGCATTGAATTTGACAAGCATCCAGAGCTCTGGTTGGGGTTTTTAGTTCATATTAGTGCTAAGATTAAAAGCATAAGCTATGAGCATTAGTTTTTTTTTATTTCACAATATACATAAGAACATGGAGAATCACATACAATATGTTTATATTGCCTAGGGATATATCATCTCATTTTTTGCCATTTTACATTGTACAAATCTATCATGTAGCTATGTTAATTTCTTCCTATAATCAGACTACTACAATCTCTTGGTTACCTTTCAGAATGGACTTCCTCCTTAGGGTGTTCATTTTGTCTCAAGAGAAGCCATGTCTATCAAAATCTCAGCCATTTCTCTCATCAGTCTCAAATCTTTTTTTTTTTTCCTCTAAAGAATGGAATTGGAGTTTACTGAGACTAGAAGATTTTGCCTTTATGGAATGATGATAGCAAAATACATTATAGCATTTAAAATTTGTAAAAATGAGTAAAAGTACATTATAGCTTTTTTTGGGGGGGGAGGGGGTCCAGTCATGGGGCCTGAACTCTGGGCCCAGCTTTCCTTCTTTCTTTCTCTCTTTTTTTTCTTTTTTTTTGGGTCCAGTCGTGGGGCCTGAACTCTGGGCCTGGGCACTGTCCCTCAGCTCTTCAGCTCAAGGCTAGCGCTCTACCACTTGAGCCATAGCACCACTTCCGGCTTTTTTCCCCCTGCTTATGCGGTGCTGAGGAATCGAACCCAGGGCCTCATGCATGCAAGGCAAGCGCTCTACCACTGAGCCACCTTCCCAGCCCTCTTTCTCTCTTTCTTTTTCTTTCTCTCTCTCTCTTCCTCTCTTTCCTTCTTTCTGTCTTTCTTTCTTTCTTTTCTTTCTCATAAATCACACCTCCCAACTGCCCATCTCAGCCCTGGGCTGGATTCCCAGCCACAAGCCTAGCCGTCCTGCCAGCAGCGTGACCATGTGGGTGGGGGAGGGCTGAGTTGCTGGAGGTGGGAAACAGGGAAGCTGAATGAGCTGGGAATGAGGATGGGGTCACCAGGAACAGGGCTGGTTAGCCCTCCTCTTCTGTTTGAATTCTCTCCTCCCACAGGCATAAAATCCCTGGCACAGAGGAGGGGCACAGCCCTCTCATAGATGTACCTTTCATTTAATCATTCTTTTCTTTCAGAGAGTCAGTGCTTTTTGTCAACATCATTTATGAAGAGTACACTCATTTCTATGTCCTTAATAAGATTAGAAGTCTGGCTTATAGTCATACTGGGGAAGGTTGTAATATGAGGTTAAGTCTAGACTTGTTCTCTCAATTTCATAATTCTGTTCCTTTTTTAGACAATGGTAGAGAGAGAGGGTCTCACTGTTTTGCCCAGGCTGGCCTCAAATTTGGGATCCTCCTGCCTCTGCCTCCCAAGTGATAGGATTACAGGCCTGTACCACCATGTCCACTTTTTTGCCTTTTAAAATGTTATTTTTTAGACACTTCAGTAGATTCTAATACTCATGTAATACACTCAGTTTGTTCCAGGGCTATGTCAGCATGCCATCATAAGAAGCAGTCCCTCAAACTTGAATGTCCAGATCCATGACAACATTTGTAAAAGAAAGAATGAAAGAGGAGGGACAGGAGAGAAGGAGGAAAGGGAAGGAAAGGATACATTGTGAAACTTAACTGATGTATATAAACAGTACTTAATAGAGTCTATTGTCTATGACATTATTAATTTACTTTCCCTATTGTACACATATAAGTCTATGTTTCAGATCATAATATTTTGCGTTTCTTTCACTTCACTTATCCAACATTGAATTGCCAGATATAGTGATTCTGTTTGTTGCTAAGATTTTGTTACTAAGGTGTTTGTATTGGCAACATTTTATTCCAATATCAATGAATTTTGCTAATATCTTTAGATAGGAATTGTGATAGAAATGCTGGTTCCCAGCTAGGCACCAGTGGCTTATACCTGTAATCCTTGATACTGAGGAGGATGAGATCTGAGGATCACAGTTTGTTTGAAGCCAGCCTGGGAAAAATCTGAGATTCTATCTCCAGTTAACCAGCAGAAAGCCAGAAGTGGAAGAGAGATTCAAGTGGTAGGATACTAGCCTTGAGTGGAAAAGCCAAGTGAGAGCAAGAGGCCCTGAGTTTAAGTTCCAGCATACATGCACATTCGTTCATTCTCTCCCTCCTTCCATCCCTCCTCTCCCCCCTCTCCCTCCCTCCCTCCCTCTCTCCCTCTCTCTATCCCTCCCTCTACCCCTCTCCTTTTCTCCCTCTCCCTTTCTCCCTCTCCCTTTCTCCCTCTCCCCCTCCTCCTCCCCCTCTACCCATCTCTCCCTCTCCCCCTGTCCCCTTTTCCTCTCTCTCCTCTCTTGCCTCTCTCTCCTCTCTCTCACACACATATACAAAATATGCTGTTCTTAATTAAGATTTGGCAAATACCAGAAATAGTTTTAGGATTAAATCTTATGTTTTTATTGTATAGATCTTTGTATACAATATCCAATTCCTAAAGTATATAGAAATATTTTAGTAGAATGTATGACTTTGACACTTAGACATCAGACATATTTCTGATAAATTCATGGGGAAGAATGTATTTCCTTCCTTTGAAATACTGAAGAATTATGTGTTTTGGGGAGACCTACCGTATATTATTTCCTAAACAACATCCATTCTCCTACATTGATACAGCTAGAAAAATTTAAATTTAACCATGCCCCTAAGGAAACAAATTTTGTACAAAATACATTATTGCCAGGCATGGTGATAAATAATTGTCATCCTAGCTACTCAAGAGGTGGAAACAGGAGGGCCCAAGTTTGAGTTCAGCCACACAAATAGGGAGATCCTATTTCAAAATAAACCAGGCAGCACATACCTATTGTTTCAGCTACTTGGAAGAGAAGTAGGAAGACATCAGATCAAGGTTTTCCAGGCAAAATGGTGAGAAATCCTATCTGACTACTAAAAGTAAAAGGACTAAGCATGTGGCTCAAGTGGTAGAGCAAATGCAAAGCTCTGAATTCAAAACCTTAGTGCACCAAAAAGAAATTATCTTTATTTACTAGAAATTTCATATTGAGTTAACTACTCAAATATAAGTAACTTAAAATGCATAAATACTTTCACGAACTTAATTTTATAGATTGGTGGCAGAATTCCCTGCAACTGGAGGAATACTTACTTCATGGCAGTTATATTCTGTGAAGCTCCTCAGATATGTTAGCTACTATGATTATTTTATTGCTTCCTGTGAAATCACATTTTGTATTTTTCTTTTTGTTTTCACAACCCAAGAACTTAAAAAAATGAAAGAATTTAAGACTGACTATTTCAAAAGTATTTGGAACTGGCTAGAATTACTACTTTTGCTGGTGAGTATATTGTTCAAGGGGATCACATCTGAAGCCACCAATGAGGGTAGATTCAGACAGAGAATGCACTGTCATTGTATATAATAATGGCGTAGTACTCCTAAAAGAAAAAAAGTCTAATATTTTTATGATTTGGTCCTTCATTGGGCAAGCAAAAACTCACATATAGGTGACTCTATAAATATTATTATTTAATGTACACAGTGCATCTTGCTACGCAAACTCAAAAAATATACTACTGTGAAGTTACTGGTGTTTGTAGTTCCAGCTACTTGGGAGATTCAGATAGGATCATTTGAGTGCAGAAGCTCAGGGCCAGACTGGGCAATGTAGCAAGACCCCATTCCCTTCCACCTCCAATAATATTTTATGTGTGTGCACATGTGTGCTGGTACTGGGGCTTGAACTCAGACCCCTATGTTCTTACTTGGCTTTTTCACTCAAGACTGGTGTTCTACCACTTGAGCTACAACTCTACTTCTGGCTTTTTTGCTGGTTGATTTGAGATAAGAATCTCACTGATTTTTTTTTGGCTTAGATGGCTTCAAACCTCCATCCTCAGATCTCAGCCTCCTAAATAGTTAGGATTACAGGAGAGAACCAACAGTGCATGGAGCCAAAAATATTTTTTTTATTCCACCCCGTCCCCAAATAGTCTTGACTAATCATGGATTTTGAGCAATAATGTGTCCTTTATTGTTGCCTAACTATGCTTTTCTCCTCATACTAAATTGAGAAAGAATAGGCAGAAGAGAAGACTATGCAAAAAACTGAAGGAAAGAGGGTTTTGAACAACTGGAGTATATAAAGTATAGACAAAATACCATGATTATGGAGGTCCCTGAGAGAAACACCAAAAACTATGAGTCACTGGAATGTGCTAAAATCAACAAAGATACCAGGGCAAGAAAATATTAAGACCTTGAACAAATGCTTTTTGATTACACTAGCTGATCTTTCACTCTATTGGCTCCTTAGTTATAGCCAATTCAGTGTTTAAGCCTTGAATCCTAAAAGTAAATTAGAAGTTTCTTAATGTGCCACCCACCTCTCCATTATTCCTAATAAAGTCTAAGAAAAGGTAGAGCATTTAACACTTAACTGAGTATTTCAGGCAAGAGAGGTCAAAGAAAAGCTTTCGCAACAGTTATGAAACTCAGACACCTAACATAGCTGGATCTGAACTCCTCTTAAAAGAGTGATTAAGGCATCCTAAAAGGGTTTATTTTTTTCTCATAGTAGAAAATAAACTTTTAAGTATCATGTAGAGCAGAAACCCTTATTCTATTGTTAGAGTGACAATCATTTTATACATTTGTGCTTTATGACTCAAGCAAATAACTAGATCAGGATAGCCAGGAAATTAATATATATCTAAGAAGCTGTAAGCTTCTGTAAGTTGAGAGTTATTTCCATTCAAGTAAAAGTATATAGCTTTCTCTCTTTTTATTGATTGATTGATTGCCAGTCCTGGGGCTTGAACTCAGGGCCTGGGCACTGTCCCTGAGTGTCTTTTGTTCACAACTAGCACTCTACCACTTGATCCATAGCACCATGTCTGGCTTTTTCTGTTTATGTGGTGCTGAGGAATTGAGCCCAGGGCTTTGTGCATGCTAGGCAAGCACTCTACCACTAAACCACATTCCCAGCACCCACATATATATTTTTTTTATTTTTTTAACCTCACCATTTTATTGCCTTTATAACAGAATTTGGAGTGTAGACTCTATCACTTGCCCTTTTCTTTTTCCTCCACCCTGTTCAAAATGCTGTATTTCTGAATATCCAAAATTCTCTTAGATCTCATTTGCTGCATTAAAGCTTCAGCACAATAGTGTTAGTTGTTTTGCTAGAAAGTTGGCTTAGTCTATCCACCATAGCTACTCTGCTTCCTATCATAACCCCACTTTCTCCTGGGCATACAGAGAACCTTTGCTCCTCTTGTGTACAGTGTCACTTTGTGAGATTGGTGCTTGCCACATATTTTACAGAAAGCCCTATGGGTTTGGGGCATATTAACCAAAAATAGTGCAACTTTTGGTGAACTTCTTTAAACTGTTTATAGGTTGCTTTAGAAGTAGAAACAGTCTCTAATTTAACGCCTCTTATTTTCCCACTTAGCTGTGTTTCATGGCTGTTTCCTTCTACACATACTGTAATATGCAAATTTTTCTCTTACTTGGACAGTTGTTGAAAAGTACTGAAAAATATCCAGACTTCTACTTTCTTGCATATTGGCACATTTACTACAATAATATAATTGCTATTACTATCTTCTTTGCATGGATAAAGGTATTTATATTATATAACATACATAGCATGTTAGCACAATAGGAAAATAATGAACTTGTGAACAAAAAAAGCATTTTCTCAACTATTCAGTGATTTTAAAAGTAGTTTGTCCTTGTAATGATTACTGGAAAATCCTCACTGTTATCATTCAGTACCTCCTTTAATTTGAAACAAAATTCTTCTTAACTTAATGTAACTTAATTTTAAACACTGGTATTCCATTTCAATTAAATTTGTTCTTTTTCAGATATTCAAATTCATAAGCTTTAATAAGACCATGTCTCAGTTGTCATCAACTTTGTCCCGCTGTATGAAAGATATAGTAGGATTTGCCATCATGTTTTTTATAATATTCTTTGCTTATGCTCAGTTAGGATTTCTTGTTTTTGGATCGCAGGTTGATGACTTTTCTACTTTTCAAAATTCCATGTAAGTTCTTAACATAAATATAATTATTTTTGTTATATAAATAGACCTATGATATACAGTAATTTAAGCTGGGCTTGATATTTTTCATTGAAGGCTAACACTGTCATATTCAAAGTTTTGGCACTGAACAATCCAAATGGATAGTAATAACCATTTTTCTAAGTGTTAAGTTACAAAAGCCATAGTATTTCCAGCACTGATATCTCATGCCTGAAATTCTGCGGTGGAGGAGGCTGAGATCTTATTATCACAGCTTTGACCAACGAAGTCTATGAGACTCTTATTTCCAATTAATTGACAAATAGCCAGAAGTAGAGATGTGGTTCAAATGATAGTGTGCCAAGTGAACAAATGCCAAGTGAGAACAACAGGTCCTGTACCCCAGTACCCGCACAAAAATAAATTTTGATTTTTTTTCCACTGGAAGTGAGACACTACCTAAGATACTAAAACATGGCCTCCATGTTTCTGTAGGATTGGTTCCTGGGGAAAAACACATCTTAAATTTTTCTTTAGTGAGTTCCATTTTTAAAATCTGTTGCAGGGCTTGAACTCAGGGCCTGGAAGCTGTCCCTAAGTTCTTTTGCTCAAGGCTAGCATTCTAACACTTGGAGCCACAGCACCACTTCCTTCAACCTTTTTTTATTTTGACCTTATTATTTTTTGCTAATTTGGCAAAGATATGTTTTAAAAATAGCTTGCCCAGGTGATGGTGGTTCAGGCGTATTATACTCCTAGCTACTCAGAAGGCAGAGATATATGGATCAAGGTTTGAAGCCAATGAGGGCAAAAATATTCCTTAGACCCTTATCTCCAGTTAACCAGCAAAAAGCCAGAAGTGGAGGAATGGCTCAAGTGAAAGAGCACTAGCCCTGAGCACAAAAGTTCAGGGACAGTGAGCAAGCCCTGAGTTCAAGCTCTAGGACTGGCACAAAAATAAAATGAGTCGGGCGCCTGTGGCTCACGCCTGTAATCCTAGCTACTCAGGAGGCTGAGATCTAAGGATTGTGGTTCAAAAACAGCCCAGGAAGTTAAGCCATGAGACTCTTATCTCCAGTTAATTACCAAAAAAGCTGGAAGTGGAGCTGCAGCTCAAGTGGTAGAGCACTAGCCTCAGAACAATAACTGAGGGACAGAGCCTAGGCTCTGAGTTCAAGCCCCAGGACTGGAACAGCCTCCCTGCCCACCAAAGAACTTATTTTATAAAGTTCTTTTTAAGAACTTAAAAAGTTCTTAAAATTTGTTCTATGGAATTCTAGACCAAGATTGTCTGAGAGGAAATGCTTTATAAGCGTGGGAAATTTTACCCTTTTGAAGAATTACAGTGATGAAATAAATTATATATGGTTCTCAGATATTCTGCAAAATAATAACTATTCGTTTTAGTTCTGTCAGCTCATTCATTATATTTCACCAGAATTTTGGGGAAATTATCTAAAGAAATATCTATGCCAGGCACTAATGGCTTGTGCCTCTGATTCTAGTTCCTAACTGCTTAGTAGGCTGAGGATAGTGGTTTGAAGCCATCATAGAGAGAAAAGACCCTGACACTCTTTTCTACAATTAACCAGCATTATTGAAGCTAGAAGTGAAGGTGTGGCTAAGGTGGTAGAGGGCCAGCCTTGAGCCTAAAAAGTAAAGTGAGAATACAAGGCCTGGACTTAAAGCCTGTGTATGAGCACCCCTCCCCACAAAAAATTCTAAAAGCTTACCCTTAGCGAATATACTTATATCCTCAAAAACTTTTTTATCCTTTTCTTGGAACGTGTGTGTGTGTGTGTGTGTGTGTGTGTGTGTGTACACGTGTCAGGGCCTGGGCACTGTCCCTGAGCTTTTTTGTGTGCGTGCACACGCGCATGTCAGGGCCTGGGCACTGTCCCTGAGCTTTTTTGCTCAAAGGTTAATGTTCTACAACTTGAGTCATAGTTTCACTTCTGGCTATTTTGGTAGTTTATTGGAGATGTGTATCTTGAACTTTCCTGCCTGGGGTAGCTTCAAACTGTAGTCCTCAGATCTTAGCTTCTTGCATGGCTAGGATTACAGTCGTGAGCAACTAGAGTCCATTCCTTTTTTAGGATCTTATTTAAGTGTCCCTTAGTGAACAAAACCTGGCAATATTGCTCATTGTCTATAAATAATATAGGACCTTGGGGAATGTCCCTTTGGGTTATAGGGAGGGAAGGAATGTGTGAAGCCCAAAAATAAGCAGAGAACTTGGGAATGGGTGAGGGCATTTCTGTTTTCTGTAATGGTGCTCAAAGTTACATAGATCAAATGCTTGGGAACAGTGTAGAAAGCAGAATGAGCTTTCTCATTATAGGTTCATGCCTATAATCCTAGCTGCTCAGGAGCTGAGATCTGAGGATCACAGTTCAAAGCCAGCACAGGCAGAACAGTCCCCGTGAGATTCTTATCTCCAATTAACCACTCAAAACCCAGAAGTGGAGCTGTAGCTCACAGTGGTAAAACACTAGCCTTGAGCAAAATAGCTCAGGGACAGCATACCCAGGCACTGAGTTCAAGTTCCACAGCTGACAAAAAAAAAAAATCTTAATGAGCCTGGCACAGTTCAAAGCCAGCCCAAGCAGACAAATCTGAGAGACTCTTATTCTAATTAATCAGTAAAAATTAGAACTTAAGTATGTCTCATGTGGTAAAGCACCAGCCTTGAGAAAAAGGCTAAGCAGGAGCACGATTCTAAGTTCAAGCTCCAGTACTGGCACAAAAAACAAAGTTAAATTTAAAAACTCTGGTGCCATTGGCTCATGCCTAGTAGAATTAACTACTGAGATATAAGGATGCAGTTCACAGCCAACTGGAGCAGGAAAGTCTGTGAGACTCTTCCGTTAACCAACAAAAGCTAACAGTAGAGCTGTGGGTCATGTGGTAGAATGCTACTTGAGTAAACAAGGTCAGGATCAGGGTCTAGGCCCTTAATTCCAGCTCTAGGACTGATATACACACCTACAACCTAAGTGAAATATGGGAAAATTTGAAAATTAGTAAGAAACTAATAAGCATAAGGCAAGAGCCCAATGAGATACTTATCATGAAGGCATTTTTCCTGCCCATGTCTCATTTTTGTTGATTAACATATATACATTGTGAAAATTAATGTTATTTGCTGTGATATTTCCATGAATATCATAATGCTAACCCCTAATAATGACTTTTTTCCTGGATCAACTTTGCTGGATTTTTTTTTGGGCGGGGGGAGAAGGAGGTTGGTCATGGGGCTTGAACTCTAGGCCTGGGCTCTGTCCCTGAGCTCTTCAGCTGTTCCACTTGAGCCACAGCACCACTTCTGGTTTTCTGGTGGTTAACTAGAGAAGAGAATCTCATGGACTTTCCTGCCCAGTCTGGCTTTAAACCACGATTCTGAGATCTCAGCCTCCAGAGTAGCTAGGATTACTGACATGAGCCACTGGCACCCAGCTATTCTTATTACTACTTTTAAGAAAATTCTATTTAGTTCCCTTGCCCATTTATTAATTGGGTTATTGATCTGAGGGAGGGGATAATTTCTTTAGCTCCTTCCATATTCTGGATATTAGGGCCTTCAAATATATAGATGGTAAAAAGTCTCCCATTTTGTACTCTCTTTAACTCAGTAACTATGTCATTTGTTGTGCAGAAGCCTTTTTTTTTTTTGGTGGGGGGGAGGTCCAGTCATGGGGCCCGAACTCTGAGCCTGGGCACTGTCCCTCAGCTCTTCAGCTCAAGGCTAGCGCT